CACGTTCATTGCCTATTTTAAATGATTTCATTCCCCTCTATCCTTGTACACATACACAATTCACTCACACACAAGGATTGACTACTGAGATAAAAATAAACCAAAACGGAAATGTACGATCCTGTTCTTCTCAAATTGTTCTTGTTCTTATCATCATATAGTTACTATTTTTCTATCAAAGTGGATAGACAGACTACGATATAGCTCTCATGCAATCGGTGCTGCAGTGTGCTTTCTGAATACGAGGGAATTTAGCAGATAAGGAAAATAATCCATGTTGATTTTTTATCAGAGAAATACGAAAATAATACAAAAAAACAAATTGACATTTCTATGATCTCAGGTAATTAGGTGACAATACAATATTAGTTTATTTTCTTTGTTTCGAGAGCAGCGATATTTTTAAATCTTAAGAGCATTGACTCCAAATAGATGCTATTCACCGGCTTTGAACACTTTGATCCTAATACTCGATGTAACCCTGTATATTTAAGAAGTAGTACCACTTGAAAAAAGTGACATTAGGCAGTCATCCCTAGCATATGAACATAGATACTGAAATTATTGTGTAACGATCCCAGTTACTACACTACAAATCAAGGTAAAAAGTGTCTAGATGAGATAGTAAACTAAAGAAGGATAACAAGATGAGATATAACGGCTAGAATGAAGATATGTAGCTGTATCTGTACTGCTAAGAATGATTCTGAGCGATGTCACCTAGCTTTCAAACATCGATTATGGCAGTCATGTAAGTCTTACACTATTGAGATCAAAGTTCGACTTCGTGGACTCATTTTTCTCAGAATATACAACATAGTAAGAACTTTGCTGTTATTAACTCCAATTAGTGCTGATGATGTCATCCAGAAAGACGATGAAAGCTTCATGATTAAACAACCCAGCTCAGAGAACACAATCCAACCAAGACCATCCGCTTGAGCTACAAATATTCTCCATTATTACAAGATTATAAATTCATATTATAACTAGAAATATACATACGTCAAATATGTCGATTAATATAATGCTTCATTTAGTTCACTAACTGAAAAAACATGAAGAGATTCTTCATTTAAGCCATCAGTATAACCAAATGTATGATACGGCTGATTATTCACCATAACTTTCCACCTAATCACAACGCAAATTTTAGTTAGACACAACGGAAGGAAGTAATAATGAACGATAAACAAGACCTGAATTAAGTGCTTATTGATACAACTACTGAGATTGTCGTTAAAAATCCGTAAGATAAATGTTGAACTATACCAAATTGTTCCAACAAAAGAACTATGATATACGATTTTCCCAGGTGGTGGAATAAAAAAAACCGGACACAAAAGAATTTCATTTCACCTTCAATCATCATCCAGTATCCAAATTATTTGCACAAATGTAAAAGTAAAACTTCAGCACTGTAGTCATGATAATGTCATTTATTAGATACGCCTATTTAATGTAGTGTGCATAGTGAGATAGTATTATTTACCAGATCAAGTTTCAAGCAAAATTTAATGCTCATATTCATACCAAAGTAATCATAAAACTTTCAAAATTCCCTTACATATTTCAACAGTTCTTTGTTATTTCACCACAATATTGTTTTACATTTAAATTTTATTTGAAAATAAAGAAAAGAAGTGAAGTTGGAAAGTTATATGATAACTTTGATATGAATACAAGTGATAAATTCTGCTCAAAACGACATCCACTTAAATAATACTGTATACCGTATAAATAAACAATCTAATAAGCAATCGGAAAGCTTCACTGATTCTTATTTCGGTAACATTTCCTAGAATGTTTTTGTCATTGTATTGCCTAGTGAGCCACATTTTTGCGGAAAAAAACGGATCCATTCTGAAGTAGATAACATTCAATTAATAGTTAAGCTTTTTATGTGAATCCAGTAGCTGACTGAAGTGAAATCTTCCTTACTACTGTGGCTAGAATTTAGCTTCAAAATGCTTGCAGATCTTAATATGTAGTCAAACAAGAGAGTTTATAACTATAGTAGGTGAGTCAAACAGTTTCTAAGAACTTTCCTAACGTGAACTTGATAGACGTAGAAACCAACCACCAACTTGTAGAATACTCATGAGACTAAAAAGGAGTACAGTAGTGTAGCCAGTAAAGAATAGTATATCTGATGAACAGTATCAATATATCGATGGGTTTCAACTAACTGGCCAGAGAATAGCGTAAAAGCGATGCAACGCATCACGGTAAAGTGACGAATGGCATAGATGCTTGACCACGTATCTTCAGTTCGTTGAAAATACGAAGGTTAGCATCAATATTGAATCTCGTCGATATCTAGGATGATGATTTAGGGGAATTATTTACCCATAAAACGTAAACAAGCGTTTTCATCAAACAAATATTGATTATGATCTACGACTATGTACTTGATCGGGAGATTTACAAAGCACGACAAAATAGCACACGCAACGATCAGAAGTCATCACAATATAACTTTATTCAAGTTCGATTGCTTAAAAAATAATACACCATTTTCCCAGTTCAGCTGTTCTGCGAACGGAATACCTTAAAAGATTAATGATACTCGAACGGTTTGAAGTTATTTTTCCAGTTTGAAATGGTCAGTTGATACCAATGTGACCTTGAGGCTAATGAATCATCTTTCTCAAGTATTATCATATTTTACGGAATCGACTGTCTCCTTGATGCTTGAAACAATCTTCCTCTAATTATTTGTTGATTTCTTTATTTCAGACATAAAATTCTACCACTATGATAAGTAATTTTACCTACCGATGGGTTAAAATGTTCACAAACAAAGCTCTAAGCATCGACAACACTGCCATACTTATCACAGGGAAAAGAACTCATGGTTGGCGGCCTCAGTTTTCAATTATCGTTGACACATTAACTATCTAAATTACATACAGAAGTCCGATAACATCAAATGCTCACCCAACATCAGTATTTTTCATTCAATAGTCTCATGCATAAAGACAGGTTTGCATATTTGACTGAGTGTAGATTAAAGTTATTGCATGGCTATACACATACTTAAGTAGACGTAATGCTGATTGTACTTGAGACTAAACTAATGGAAAAACAATCTTTCAGATTACTAAATTACAACGAATAGTCACACCAAAGTGAATACGGATTGTGGGGATTTAGCGACTTTTCAAGTTGGTGTTCATCATGGACTGACATCAGCTAGAGGAACACTGGAAACCTGTTTCGTCCTAGTATGGCACTCCTTAGCGGCGCGCACCCACCATGGACCGAAATAAGTGCTTTTAGGTTCCATGGCCAGCACGGAACCCACAAAATTAAAAGACCTAGTCCTCATTGGTGACTTAGCTTCGAGAGGTGATTCCCGAAGTTCCAATGAGAAGTCGTGACCGGTGGCCGTGAGAACAAATATTCAACGATGAGGGATAATCGCGATATGTCGTGAACTGACAAAAGTTGGGAATACGGACCATCGGGTCCCGACCCAGTGGCTCGATGGTAACGTGCTGATCATCGAACCTGAAGGTTCTGGGTTCGATCGCTGGCGGGGTGATGCGTGCGCACTGTTGAAGAGTCCCATACTAGGGCGAAACAGCTGTCCAGTGCTCCCAGGTTTTCAATATTCCTTCAACTGATGTCAGTGTATGATGAGTGCCAACTTGGAAAGCTCAAAGTGAGTACATTTAAAACAGTTTTGCGTCGCAGTAAAGCACAACATTCCCCCTACCATAAAAACTTCAGCCAGGCAATGAAACTAAGTGACAATGTCAGGAATGCTCACTTGATATCAGACAATAATTTTTACGATCAAGTTACTTACTTTGGTGGCGTTATTTACTGTACTCTGTGGTTAGTAGGTCTCGACGAACACCGAAAAGTAGACAATATGGGATTTAATTTAGTCCAACTATCGACAATTTTAAACAATTAAATCTTACTGCAAATCAGACACTGCAATAATGAACTAATAACAACATACAGTAAGATATTGCCGACAAACGATCTGGAGTAGCTGCATATTGGTCACAGTAAATACAGTTCACATCAGATAGACAAGCAAAATCAACTTAGGACCTTAAACAGATGTGAATCAGTTCAAGTTGCCACACTTCATAGTAACATGCAATGAAAAAGGGGATAGAAGACTGATATTAAAGTGTATATGAGAAAGAATTTTAAAAGATGAAGGTTAGTGAAAATGTTCACACTTTAGATGCCAAGGAATGAATACGATTCACATGACTGCGGAAACTTAATAACACGGAATACAGAATACTTGCATCATTAAATTTTTTCGAAAGATAAGAATGAAAAGGGAACAGATAAAGATAAGGTCCACACCCTATCTAAGATAGGTTTTGAATAGTATCAGCCACAGTGGATGAGTACTGCACTATGCAGCACATTGACAGAAGTAGTGAACCATCAGATTCTAACCCAATGGCTGAATGGTAACACGCTCGCAATGAAATCTGATAGTAATGGACTGGATTCCTTTGTAGGGTTATGGATGCTAACTGCTGGGGGGTTCCAGAGTAGGATGAAAAAGTTATTCAGGGATCCCAAGTTTTCCATAGTTCTCCAACTTATATCAACCAACAAATGAATATCACCCAGATTGGCCAATCACTTTAATAATTTCATGGAACCTAACCAGAAGAGCATACTTCTAATCACCATTACCAGTACGGAATGGCGTAATGCATCTAGGGTTTCACATATGATCAGGAATGTCATCAAGGTACTAAATATATCTAACTTATGAGTTCGAAAAAATCTATAACATCCAACTGACAATCGCCAATTAGCCCAAAGCACAACAATCATATGATAAATTCATTATATACCACGAATACCAGATATCAGTAGTACATAATTGAAAGCAATCGTTAAATTACGTACGAAAACAGGATCAATGTCACTAAATAATGGCCAACATAAATAAACAGTTAATAATAACAATAGTGATAAATAAATTCTTTTTCATCAAATAATTGTACAATTGGTTAATCGTCAAATACAATACGTTTTACTTCAGGAGCTGGACCTTTGAGTACATCGATAATTTTCGCCTTATCTGTTCGTCTCGCCTCCCAGGAAGGATGAATATTGGGCTTGTCTAATTCAGATATAAGGGTTTCTGATACTGTCGGTGCTATTTTATGCATCTGTAGACTCTGTGGCTTCAGCTTATTTGGAAATCTAGTAGAATTTTGTTTTTTTGGTACTAGCCGTGAATTCACTTGAAATTTCTTCACGGGTTCTGAACGATTCTTGAAATTTTTATTTCTCTACAAAAAAATAAGAACAGCAAAAAAGGTAAAGTGATCGGAAGTAAGATAGCTGTCGAATTCATTTCTTGATGAAGAGCTTATATGTAAGAAATTTCCACAATAATTATTAGACGATTGAGTTGTGAAGAAAAGTATTTTGATTAACTGAAATAAAGTACATAACAGTAGGTTATGGAATGATAACCAATACAGCTCAATAAATTATAAATGGCGATCGAATCCACTTGCAACGTAGCCGTTGAGATAAACGTCACACTGGAATGCACTGAGCTTAAATTTAGCACGTTAACGATCGATCAGCTGACTGAATTGACAGCTATATCAGCTACTATCCGGTAAAAGACCCATGAACGAAATTCAGTTCTACGAGGTGCCCATTGTAGCTTCATGTATCAGTGATAAAGTCTCAGATTTCCGCAGTAAGTGATACAAAGTTTAATATCCAAGGGAACAAAACCCTCCTGAATACTCCAAATATACCTTGTTAACAAGCGTCAACAAACCTACAAATTGGACCCAGGAATTCTTCTATCAACGAACTCATAACACTTAACACAAAAGTAAACATCAGTTTCGACTTAACGAACATTTCTGGAAATCTCTGATCAGTTCAGCGAAACGTTACATCTGTTGTGATACATTTCACTGAAATATTACGCTCGTATTTAGAAACTTGAGCAATCACACGTTTAAGTTTCTATTGAAGATGAAATGTATATTTCTGACCTATCTATCGATTAGTCACTTAAATTCACAACAGTAAAGATTACCTTATTCGGAGATTGGATATAACCCATTGCTGAATGATGGTCAGAAAGTTATGAATATTGACAGAAGCTTGCATTTATGTTTGCAGATAGTCAAGTGATTGGGCTACCGTTTTAAAGTATTTATGTTTAAGACTCACCTTTCATTTTATTACAAATCAGTAGACAAACAAGTGAAATTCAATAATGTTCTGGATTGTAGGGTTAGGCCCATGATATGTGACTTTTGGATGATGACTTCGAACTTTACTCTGTCTACTGAGGTTCGGGTAGCTAGCGTCGTCACAGAACTCACACAATAGATATTGTTAACTGACGAATGGTATGCGAATCGATACTTGCTTTGGGGCTGCTCTTACGCGCGTATTACCAGCAAATGAGTAGAACGTTTCTCTGTAAAAAGAAACTACAGACTCTGTTTCTAAGCAAGAAATTGTAAGAGCGTGCATATACTGTCTCTATTAGGTTTAGATATTTCCTATCAGCTCTAGTTTGAAGGGTGAAAAAAGCAGTGATAACGTTAGCGGTAAGTTATTGAAACATTATTCTATGATAATTATTAGGAACAAGAAACGAGACACCATTTTCTATTCGCAACCGTCAATCTGCTCCTATTATTTAATTACCAGCTTAATACCCTACGAACTAAAAATACCTTAAAGCTCATATGCAAACAAAAAGTAACTTACAAATAATTTTCGAACTTCTCTATCATCATTTCCAAGTGGATCATCAAGTTCTTCTGATAAAGGATCTTCCACTAACCGTTTATTTGACGAAGGATTTTCGTATGAACTAAAGGATTCACTTCGCTTTTCATTTACCTGGTGAAAGTCAGACGGTTGAAAAAAAGAAAGATTTAATTGAAACCATTTTCTATTCACTAAGAAATGTAAAACTAGGAGTTGAGTATGTTTTCACATTAATTACTTTTCTATCAATGTGTTTTAGATATTTTATGAAAGTTGTAGAAGTTACGAATTGTTTGTCCGTTGCAGACATACCTAAGTAATATACGTTGTTTCCCTTGGACTGAAAGGATAGTAATAGTGATAATCACTTCATTTCGAACAATTTTGATGAAATTGGAATCCAGTTGACTTGAGTACTTCCCCTTCTGTGCCTTCTAACGATGTACCTATACCTGCGAAAACCAAGAGAGCTAGACACTGAATATTCAGAAGATCGAAAGATGTGTCGCAAAGTCACCATGTTGATGAGGTACGGTTAAGTGAATGATCACACTTCAATCTTGTATGCGCGTCTCACAAAAACCCCACACATCCATGGACCAAGATTTGGCTACAGAAGTTTGTTGATTGATTTGATGAAGGTTTTGAACATTGACAACTCCACCATGTAGTTCGTAGCGCAGTTTTAAAAGATCAGTATTGGTGTTCCTGGAAGTCAAATCGCTGTCAGAGGCTACAGAGCTAGATGAATTGAAGATGATGTATGAATATAGACCGAGAAAAGTGGAAGGGGAGAAGGCAGACAGTGATCTGAGCCGCGTTGAGTGCTGACATAGTTATGAGAGCTGCCATCACTTAAGCTGCCCACACCGTGGTCTGGCTCATCTTGAGGTGCCTGAAAAAACGTTAGTGAGTGACCACAGAGCCGGATGGATTTTAAGTTTTCCTATTTCGACTGCAACTCCGAATATACATCGCCGGCACCGGTATGCTACGCAGTAAAGGCGATCTCTTCTAGCTCTCATCTCTTCGCATAGGGAAGGGAACATCAGCATGACACTTGGTCATCCGCGGGAAACACCTTACTGCAGTCACACTCGTATCCAGACAGCAGTACGAATTTGCCCTCGGATCCCAACATAGTGTAGCAATTTACAGTGTAAGAGTATCTGCTCTCGTTTTACAATTATCTAACTGACCTTCCTGGTATAGTAGGTGTACCACCACCATAGCTCGTTGGACCATTTTAATATGAGCCCGACCATCACGTCAAAGTAGCAGCTATCGATTGAGTTAGTTAGCTACAGACGTGTGGATCTCATCTTTTAATTTATTCAGTTGGGATTAGTAATGACGTAATACCAGACTAACAGTATCGTACTGATTCTATTCAAATCTCTTGAAAATCTTCCTAATTACATAGGCAAGCAACGCAAGCAACAAATGTTCTGGTAAGGTTATGCAACTACCACTAACTTTCAAGTGTAGGAATTTAGTTAGCCACTGAAAAACGTTACGTATGGAAGGTATCAAGGTAGCAGATGGAACTACCCTCAACGATCCAAGATTTCACAATTGACATTAGCATATGAAAGAGAAGTTAACGAGAGATGAAAAATGCAAATAGTATTATAGGTTATAGAAAACCATCACACAAATAGAGAGGAGGTAAGTGATGAAATTTCCTGTTACGAATAGGAGAAGGATATAGTATGAAAAAGTTTATATATATCAACAAAGTATAGGCCAAACCTTACATTTAAGGAATTCGATGAGTTGGAAACTTTTGGCTTGCTCATCTTCCGCTCAGTTGATTGATCCATAGAACAGAGACGATCAATCGAGGAATTCACTTCCTCTGCAGACGAGGATACAGGACTATCAAAGAAACTGTTTTTCTGAATGCCTTTTCGTTCAAGCAGCTGAGTTATCATCGTTTCTGCTGCATTGTAATCTACATCACGGAATATATCATTACCACTGAGAGAATTAGTAACTGTCAGTGGTTTTGTATAACTCTTAGATTGCTCAGATTCGTTCTCAACACGATAGACGGAAAGACTGCTAAGAAATATAACAAAGTTTTAAAAAAGTAGTAAAGTATCTGACTAATTAAAGAAAAGCAAACAATCAAATCATATTAGTGAGTGATAAATAATTAGACATGTATGCAGCTCTGGTTAAATAACCTAAGCATGGGGCTGTCAGTTACAGGAAGTCATCGACTATAAGCAAACATGTATTCTTTGATCGGAGCACGGCACAGTAAAGTTAGGAGACAAAAGAATGTAGAGCCCTTTACAAACGTGCGTGTCAGAGAATACGATTGTTTTTTAGAAACATTAATGCCTGGTGAGTATTACTGAACTATGTCGTTCCGCTAATAGATAGATCCATTCAGCGACAGAACTAACTAGTCACGACCACTTTAAGTCACCTTGAGGACTATCTTCTCAATGTTACGTTAACTACTATAAATATCCTGTACTTTTAGTCTATTGTTATCGACTGCCCTAGCGGCGAATGAGTTACCCGGTATTTATGTCTTTCGTCTTGCCTATTAGTCATAAACAGCTACAACAGTGCGTCAATCCATTTTAATCGATGATCATGTCACAACAGAATAGACTTTAGCTATAAACTGTGTTAGTTCACAACACAACATATACATATGTACATGAGTAGGGAACTGTTGATGTGGAAATAAACAACTAGGGATAACAGCTTGGATACTAGTAAGCCGAATAGCAGAACAAACAGACAAAATAAGCGGAGTATTGTGAATTTTGAATCTATATTCCACGGAACAGATTACCTGATCACAGAATGCTAAAATGAAAATGAACACTGTTTTATATATTTTCAAAGTAATTGTGTGGAATTATCCGGGGATAAAGTTGAACTACAGATGAGGCTTAAGATGACGTTGAAACATCAAGCTCGGAAAGTGATAAGATCAACAGAAAATGTATTCAAGTAAAACAATCCAAAATGTAAATTATGGAAAATGATAATAATACTTTGGTGATTATAATGTTTAATTGATTAAAATGTACCTTTCATCTTGTAGCACATTGATTTCTGTTTCTTGAACAGGTGCAGGAGGCAGCGGCAAGGATCCACGAACCTTTTTATTCCGACGTTTTTGTTCTCTTGACTTCCATTTGCCCGATATGTTTTTGTAGAATAAATAATGTACAAGGCTCATCCAGTCTTCATGATTTTCACGAAATGATTTAACAAAATCTGTTACAGGTTTCGATGATTTGAGACGCAGAATTAGTCGATCCTCCTGAGATAAACGACTTCCACTTTTCTGAAGCTAAAATAGAGATAATACGTGATCACTTTCGGTGGTGAACATACATACCCATGAACATCCTTCCAAATTAATAAGCTAAGGCTATGCATTAATAGGAAGAACATTGGACCTCTTTAAAAGAGATGTGGAAAGAAACCTGCATAAACATATTAGGAAGGAAGAAGAAACAAGACAAGGAATGAATCTCGACGGACATATGGAAGCTGATAGAGCACGGAGAGGAAGACGGTGAAACAGAAGATAAACCAGTGCAGTGCAGGGATGAACAACGAAATTTGGTGTGTCACAAAAAGCACTTCCAACAAACTACAGACATTCATCAACAGCAACAAGGAACTCTGGCTGGCGACGAACCAACCAACAACCTATTACCCAACAAATATGCAGAAGAAAATGGAGATGGATTGGGCATACACTGAGAAGGCCAATTGGGGACATTAAGCACCAGGCCAGGCACTCGAGTGGAATCCAAAGGGGAAAAGATGAATTGGGTGTCCGAGGGTGACATGAAGATAGTGTGAGGAAGAAATGAAAGCTTGTGGGCAGTCGTGGGGCCAGGTTAAAAAGACTGCAGAGAACAAAGTGAAATGGAGACGTGCTACTGAAGCTCTATGTTCCACTAGGAACCCAGGGGACAAATAATAATAATAATAATAATAATAATAATAATAATAATAATAATAATAATAATAATAATAATAGTAATAATAATAATAATGAGTTAATAAAACTTGATTATGTTAAGGTTTTTTGTATCAAGGAAGACAACCACTAGCTTCCACAACACGTGTGGATCGTTATTTAGTACAAGAATTCAGATAACGCTGCACTAATTAAATCGACGATAATCATGTCTCCTTGTACGGAGTCGGTTAGCAAGGCTCTCTCTATGAAAGTTTTTGACCAAACAGAGAAAATAAATCAGTGCTAGAGGTTGATAATGTACATTAACTTTCTTAAAGCTACTACACAAGCAAACATTGAAATACCTACAATAATAACAATAAAAATGCAACTGAGTTACCACAGAAATAAGTTATCGCCTTTAAGCTATATTTCATTTGTAACGGCTGGTGAAAACGATCGACCAACAAAATGTCGCTGATGTTGCTCACATATTCAATCAGTGTCAACATGTGACTCGTTAATACTGTGTGACAGTGCAAGTCGCCAATACAAATAGATGTGCAAGCAAGTATATTTATAAGCTCCAGACAAATCAAGGAGCGGAAGCAACTCAAATATAGACTGACAAGTAGTCCACACAATGACCACAAACAATGGTGAGCAGCGAAGACTGTAGAGATGAGGAAGGCAGCAGCGATAGGTGACAGTAGGTGGTTATTTGCATTCATCGAGCAAGCTGGTGCAAAATGTCAGTGGTTTGCGACATGACAGTGAAGGATGGATTAACGACTCACTCGCAAGGTAGAAAACCAATAAGATGAGCGGAACAGTTTAGCTGGCCTCCAGTTGCTAATCCGTTGCCTGCTTTGCAGTTGATTTCTGAATTGAAGTTCGAGATAAGACCTCCAAACCTTACAGAAGTCAAGAAAGCTGTAGGTAACCTGAAACAAGGAGCATCAGGATCGGACGGACTAGCATACCAGAGGTATTTAAGGCTGGTGGTCGAGGATTACTAGTCAAGCTAACAAAATCGTTAACTGGTTTATTTAAGTAAGATATGATCCCAACTGGCTGGCCCCAGTCACTGATTGCCTTCAAGAATGAGGGTAGAGATCCTCTCGCGAGAACCGCGGGGGAATTAACCTGAAGAAAAGTGTCTAGGATCCTAGGTTCTATAACTATCAGATGTCTCAGGGGACCCCCTGGAACAGCAAACCCGGGGAAACCAGGCACGCTTCAAACGTGGACGTGGGTGTGCTGACCAGCTACTCACTCTCCGCCAATTTCAAGAACACAGGCACATTTACCGACACTAGCTAACTTCCTCAACATTTGACTCCGTCGATTAAGGGGTCTCATGACAGTCTTTCAGTGAAAGGAGGGCCGAGTAATTACATCAATATGTTGAGGGGTTTTATGCGAACAGCCGTGAGCGTGTCAGAGAGAATGGAGAGTTGCGTACGTAATGGCATGGTTCAGTTAGGTTAAGACGCTGAAAAGATACAGTCTTCTAGACAACTTAAGTAGCAAGTTGGGATGAGTTCCTCGCCAACCAAATGCAAATATTGCCTCAGGACTGGTCTTCAGGGGTCTCTTGCTTATCGATAGGGAGTGAAATGATTAGACACGTCGACCAGTTCATTTACTTGGTAGGTCGGTGATTGACCAAATCCGTGAAGATATAAAAGGCTCGACTGGCTTGTGCCAACCCACGCCATCTGTCGCACCGACACGGTGTCCGATTGTCTACTAAGAGTAGAGTGCACTGTGCTACAGTTAGATACGTCCTACTAAGTGGCTCTGATACGTGCTCACTAAATGTAGAGGATATGAGAAGTCTTCAGGGTGCAACCATCATAGCACCAGTCCCTGAAGTGTTTGACTGCCGGTCGGAGCCGTGTAGAGAAATGTAGACTTCCTGGACGGAGTCCGTGTGACAACAGAAACCAGCGATTGAAGACTAGGTGATATGGCTCAAAATCTACCCTAGTAGTGCAGGTGCATCCATTCATTATCTTCATCTCAATCGTCATACTGAATTCAGAATCCCGTAATTCTTCTTTGTTCACTTCTGATGACTTTCTGCCACTTTTGGCTGCTTTCCGCATCACCTTTCATCTTAGTGCACTCTCACTTGATGTGCTGACATGAGGCGTGGCAACTCGGACCGTTGTGCAGCAACGCCAGGTCCTACGTTGTTTTTGTCTGTTTGTCACTGACTTATAACAGCTGATCCGACTTCCAAATAGGCGAAGAGTCAGTGCCCTAGGCCACCTAACTCCCAACTGTCATTAGGTATTGACACAGATGCTTCGTGAGGTGACACAGTTCACCAAACATTGTCAAGTGGTCACACGTGTCCATAAGACTGTATCTTCATCTAACAGGACTGTCATGTACATTCTAGATCTACTAAGCAGTATTTTGTGACGGTCAGTTGCTGGGAGGTCAGACGAGAGGTATTCATAAGGACGTTTACGGCAAACAGATAAAATGAACACTTGCCATCCCTGAAAGAGACCGTCCAACCTATACAACTCACCTCATACTCATCATAGGCTTCAACACATTCATGCATTGAAATACAAAGCCTTCAAAGGAGTGATCCACTTACCCACTATCCCTTCAAATGAAATGCACTAATTTTTATTTGGTTACACAATCACCGTTGGAGGCCAGTTCAACATAATACGTCTCAAATGCCTGTTCTTTGAGGTTATCGATGACTCATCCTTTTCGGTAACGGCTTTAGTGACTATCATCTTCGTTGTTCCCCTTTCTCTAATAGGCGTTTTTAATTGCCGGATATTACCTAGTTCTGATGTTTCTTGAATCTTTTTCGCTGTCCACCATTAACTCAGTCACTGTGAAGATTCTTAGTCAATTTACGTTCGTGCTACTTTTGCTTCTCATTGTGGATAGAGCGATATGAAATGGGTCCTCTTGTACTAATAGTTTTGGTGCAGAAAGTGACTGACTGCCAAAATCAATGTAGAACCTCGGACGCAGATGCATCGGCTTAGGTTGCTGCACTTCAGAGTAGTACACAAAGAACAGGTGGACAGAAAAATAGTGATATCAAAGTAGGCAAAGTTGCGTGAAAGTGGTCACTGGCTTTTATCAATCTTTTTTGTAGGTTACTAACTGTCATCATCGGTGTTTTTACAGCGGACTGAATATTATACCAAGCTGCAGCAGGATAAAAACTACTGCCATTTTTAGATAGATGCTTAGCTATCTCTTCCCTAAATACACAATTTATGTCCTCATTTCACAGTCAAGCATAGAGACTCAACTGCTCCTTGTTTCCTGGGAATGGTAAGGCGCAATCATACACGTGTCCCAATTAACGTGTGGTCGAAGTTCAAATAAATACTTCAGAAACAGCAGCAATCCTCAACAGAGTCATCTTAACGATGGCTTATAGCAATATAATTTATATGTCCATTTTTAGTTTGATTTCGGTAGATGCCAAGTGAGACAATGTCTCTATGCTTGAAGCTGGTATTCGCCAGAAAGTGATTGTCAGAACACGATCGTAGGTGATCATCGTTGTCGGTTTGTTGACGTGAGACACTACAGATACCTCTAAGATGTCGTTCTAAATGGCTCAGCTTCCCTACATGAGCGTTAAAGTCGCCCGCTACTATGACAATATTTGAACCCTTCGCATAATAAAGCTAAATTGATAGCTTTCGGTAGAATTCATCCTTTGTATCATTCGAACTACAGTTGATAGATGCGTAAGCGAGGACTACGAATAAATGTAGACGTGTCAGTCTTTTCCATTTTCGATAAACGCAATCATCTGGATAGGATACAAATGGTTATCGACTGGTATTCAGTCGAACTGTGTTTTTCACTCTACAACTTAACGCCATACCTACACAAGCTAGTCCACAACCAAAACTCCTCTTTATGAGTTTAGGATTGTGTGGTTAACCAGTGCAAATGCAGTAAGTAAATAATTGCCTTTAAAAAGTTAACACATGAAGGGTATTAAGATAACATTACCGCATGTGTTACCTAGGTCAACACTACTCTAAAGAAAATCCATCAACGTTAATGGAATTGAAAAACGACAAACGAGTCAAAATGCTTCAAAATGACAAGGGCTCCGGTGTGCTTGTAATGCATAAGTATAAACACATCCACAAAATGGGTGGAACTCTTGAAGATACCTCATGATACAAAAACGATAAAAAGAAAGACATATTTGAAGCCTTCATAGAAGACAACTAAGTAGCTCAGACAACTACGAAAGAAAATGGTTGAAAATGAGACGCGATGAATATAGGAAGAGGTGATACCTATTAAAGATATATACACAATCTAAAGAATACAGAATCAGCGTACCAATTAGACATATTTTATCTATGACCTATTCTTCATACCACAAACATTTTCGTTAATTAGCGCAATAGTTAGAAAAAACTTAGAAAAAGTTATCAATGTACATTTTCAAAGACTCGTTTGAATTCACCAAAAGACGATAACATTTAAATTGATTGAATAAGTTCATGCCATTAAATGGCAATGCGTCTTCATTCTTGAGTATACTATTTCTTGAAACCATAAACATAATTTACCAACGCACGATAGACATCCTGTGATCAAAGATTGAGCTAAAATATCACCAGAGGCACACGGCTTATAAACGTTGGATAAGCAATTACGCTTCTTTATAAGCTTATCAATGCCCATTTCAACATTGAATTTACAATCGAACATGAGCAGCAGTTAAACTTTCTTGACTTGTGAATAAAACGGAGATGATAGCATAATAGGGTGAAATAAACACTGTAAAACCACTTTGATCAACCAACACCCAAGCTTTTCCAGTAAGTTACAAGGGGTGTGGTGAGAAATACTGAACTCCGAAGAGAATTGAAGCGGAAAACAAGCTGACTGAACAAGGTCTTACTTACACAGGGTGTATAGTGAAATTTGTATCGAAGTAACGCAAAGGTATGAAAGAGGAATAAAGCTCTATACAAAAGAAGTGAATGTTCCTAAGACTGGGATACAGAGGTGATGAGAATAAATAAGTGAATCAGAGGTGCATTATCTAACACTTATGCAGCTCCCAGAAGTCCGAATATAATAAACGTCATACTCAGTTACACAGCTTAGACCAGCCTTCAGCTCTAACTCCAACTGCATTTATCGAATGCACTTGCTGTAGTAGGTAGGTAGGAATAACGAAGGAACGGTTATTCACCAAGACTGTTCAACAAGCATCCAAGAGTCTATGCCTCCCAGATTCTGTTTCAATTAGCAATGCGATAGTACGTCACCTAGTTAGTGCAGGGTACCAGGTCGTTATTGGACAAGAAAAAGCCTTTACACCTAGTCTAAATTTCTGAAGCCATTGCCACCCTACGAATACAAACCGCGTTGTGTCCAAAAGGAAACATCTACTAGTTTACTACTTGCCCAGTAATTTGTGACTTCATCTTTTCATCTTATCCATAGTTTTTGAAACTTTATTTTATGCGCACTTCCACCCACATAACCCAGTTTTACTACTGCTGCTTATCAAATACATTCTCTCCATGACGTAACCGCCTCTAATTGTATCTGCTTTTATCTTACGCATTTAAGAACAGTCCTCGTTCACGTTTACATAACATGTATCTTGTTTGACTGAATTTCACCATTTTGCCCTTATTATACTGTGAATTGAAACATTTTTCTGATTTTCAAAATGTTCATACCTCAAGACCTTTCTCATCAGGTACGTTAATAACTTTTAAATTATATGCAACTGGATAATAGACGACAACACCTTATCCTGTAAATGTTCTTATTAGGTTTAAGTTCACAGAAAGGCACAAATCCATAAGAAATATTTCTGACCAATAAGATACGAACTCAAAAAAGCTACACTTCAGAACCATATACCATTTCAATTAAAAGACAGTCTGACCCTCCTCATTAGATGTGAATGACTCAGATAATCGTGGAACAGTGAGTGTTAACGACGGTTGAGTGATTTTGCTGTCTACAAAAACAAATTCACACATATTGGAATGTATCCGAAATCTAACGTCTCTTACATTTTTCGCAATCACAGCATTTCAACAAAATAATGCTGGAAACGTTTAAGATGGCGAAGTCAAAAATAATTTACGTGAAAACTAATATTCAAGTTGTTTGGGGCTACACAAGGAAATCGGGAAATGTCACTTTCGTAATTCCTTAGTTTTAGTTTTTAAAGGCTTAAAATAATACTCAAATACAAATCTCAATTTGCCGAAGCTTATTATTCTCAACGACTGGTTATCAGAAAATCACAAACTATAAGTTTAGTATGTAGTAGATTATTCCAAGCAGTAGGTTAGTTGTTGATACAAATCGAGAAAAGATATGCACGACGAACGGGTACCATAAGTGTATTTGATAGGTATGTGAAAAGTCAAAATAGACGCCACGTTTCTCAATTCTCAGGATAAATAAAAGTTGTCACGTAATAAAAAAAACTTGTTGAAGATGAAGCAAATCTATTCAACAATTTGAGGTCACATGTTCCAGTCAACACTAACGCGTAGAGCACACATCATTTTAACAATGCCGAAGTCAATTAACATGTATCACATGGAGCCGATAATACTGCCAGCAATAAGCAAGTGGGGTCAGATATGGTATGGTTAGGCTTAAAACCAGTAGTCAAGGCCATAGTCTTCCCATCAACGCCGCACTTGTTCTCGAAAATGACGAGTTCAATTAGGATACCCAAATATGAGGCCAGATACCATTTTTATCCACCAAAATTAAGATATTAGAGAAGTGGATGACTCAGAAAAACCCCTGAGGAAGTTTGTTAAAATGTTATTAGACTTACAACATCTTCATTCATGCCCTCTGCGAGTAACCGTTTGCAAAGTCTGACCACAGAAAGACTGTTAAGAAGCTTGATATCAGAGACTCTATTTTTTATCTTATTTTCAAGGCGTCTGCAACCTTCGAGGTGAGAAGTCTTCACCCGGAGCTTCTTCACATAGCTTATCAAGTCTCTGGACACGTGTACCTGAATGTCGGATCGTATTGTAAATCATACCTTGGCAGCACGAACAACTTTCCGCATTTTGGTCAGCTCTTCATTCAACTCTTCTACTGTGGCAGAAGGTTCGGGAATGTGGTCGCTTAGATTGAAAGTTAGTGACATTGAGGCAATCGACTCCAATGGCTGGAGCAGCACCACTCAATAGAGTGACAATTGCCGGACGTGAATGTAACCTCAAAAATGCAGTTTCCTATTTCGCGCGAATGAGATAAAGCGCAAATCGTCATTTTCTGATTGGTCAGTGCGATATGGCCCTAATAAAAGAAAAAGCGGTATTTTCTAATTTTGGAAACATCGAGTCTTCGTTCTTACTTTGGATAGACGCATTTTTATAACAATCGGCATTTGTAAAGCAACATTAGAATGTCCTTCAGATCGAATGCTGAACGGGAAAATTTGGTAGCTGAATTCAGACAACTTGCGAGGAACAGAATCTTACAAACATGGCCAAAGTCCTAGACAGCATTTACTTTGGGCGCACTTTGGAACTTTCGGGTTTCACCTGAAACTACTTCGGTCGCACTTACCGACTTTTGGGTATTCCCTCTAAATTTCACAAATATTTCACTTGGCCACTAACATTTTTCCGACTTCTGTAACAAAAACACACGTAGCGTCAAATATACACGTGACAATATTACGGAGTATGCCTTCTCATAACTTCGGATTTGAGTCGTTACAAGTCTTCGGGCGCAATGCCGAAACCTTGGGTACTTTGGGCTAATTGCATGCACTTCAGGTGTTTTGGGCACGTTTGAAAAACACGCGAAGTATCGGGCTAACTGCAGACACTTTGGGTAGAGCCCAAAGTTTTGTAGTGGCCTCGAAACTGTCGAACGTCTGTTTAAGTACACCGAAATTAGTTGAATGCGAGGGGAAGTCCTGTTCACAATACTATACACCGTGTTGATGAGTGGTGGTACTTTTTTCCATTAATTGCGTCTCCTGCACCCGAGGAATGTTGCTGTTTATTTCCCTTTATTCCATTAATTCATTATTGGCGTTTCAATATAATGAGTGCATGGAATCTTTATGGAAAGCAATGAAGCTTCCTTTAAAATTCTACAACTCCTTCACTATCCTCCACTGTCAATTAAAATGTCAGGTCTCGTGCTGATATTGCAGCACCTGTCATAAGTGGATCTGAGTAACGTAACCCCTCACTAAGCATCGCGACCGCAAGCCGCAAAAAGGGGTGAGGTCATCCCTATCTTCGTCTCAAAATACGCGGAGAACACTCGGTTGCCCAGTTCGCCAGACGACGTCAACGAGATGCATTAAATAGGAGAAGAGTATGACGTACCTGTCATTGTTACAATATAAATTTATTTCCACATTCACGCCTAGTACATGCCTTTCGGTGAGTGCGAAGCGTGTTTTTAAACTTCGCTAGCACTTTTGGACTTTTAGCATTATTAGGCAAAAACTTCGGGCGCACTTTGTGACTTTTGATACTATCGGGAAAAGGTTTGGAACATCATGGAATATCATGCGTCGCCCGATATGAGCCCAAGGTAAAATTTTCGAGTTTAAGCCCGGAAGTTTCAAATTGCTCCCGAAGTAAGTGCTGGCTGAGGTATGAAGCGTGCAATAAAACGATTTTAAAATGAAAGTTGCTTAATTCTTGGAGTCATCACTAATTGTTAAAGGTAACTGATAGTCTGTATAGGATTCATAATTGTCGCCTAAATAGGGACGAGAATAATAAGGTAGACCCGGCATATAAGTACCGGTATACTGTTTTTCATTGACATGTTGGTCTGTGCAGAAAGCCAGTAAGCAGTGAAAATCACAGTAAGTGCTGTAATAGAGGCCATAACATATGCATTACAGATCTAAGTTCCACGGCTTCCCATTCACGTTCCGAATTAAACCGACTTTCGGGCGTTATGAAGTCGTAGAACCTGTCAGCACTGTATACAACCACGACTTGTCGTCAGAGCTGCTGATATCTGTGGAACCACGTGTCCGAAGACTCAGTGGGGATGAGCAAATTAGGATTCTGCCGCTTATCGAAAGTAATGCACCACCAAGTCAAACTACTGATATGGTTGACGTCGAGTTCGGTAGGCTGATGACTTAAGATGAGTACAGAAGTTTTCGGGAACTGGTATACCCTAGTAATGTGCTATTTTTATCTCGTATATTTTCGGGAATTCGTGACATAGATTCACTGATTTCAGAAATCCAGGAGACAGGATTGGTGTGGTACCTACTGGACAGAGATAGAAGAGTCATGATGTTTAGTTTCGCAACTCGGGAAATGATAACAAAATACAAGAAGTTTCCGGAAGTTGTCTGTGTGGATTCCGTATACAACCTCTGAAGTTGGATATTTAGCAAAGGTTAATAATTCCGTTTTTTAGCCACCTGCTTTATCAGTTGGTTATCATGGATGGCCTCTACCGCAGCTTCTCTGTGATCTATGTCTTAACTCGCAGAAAATGCCCAATGGACGTGGAGAAGGTATTGCGGCCTTTTAAGACCATGATGGTTGAAACATCACGAACCGTGACGTTTGTCGTCAACAACAGTGCAGCGGAGCAGGGTGCTATTCGCAGTCAGTTCTCGTACTGTTCCGTTGTCTTATATGCCTTTCATGGTATACGCTCGTTTAATTATAAGGTGATTTGTACACAAAAAATGAGAAACCTGCAGTTTCGCAATCAGGAATGTAAACTTATGTTCCAGGAAATGGTGCACACTCATGGCCTTGACAGGCATCGTCACTGATGCATAATGATTCCCTAGATTTATTGAGTTAAATCTATCTATGAGAACAAAGCATCCGGCAGCATTTGCTTATAAGGAGGGAATTCTGTGGGCCAGTCGTTACATGTGGGCCTCATGCCTCAAGCAGGCTGCTGTTGCCCTAGGCAACAAAACGAATAGCAGAGTTCAGTGTTGCCATATGCACTTGAAGAAATATTTTTGCAAATGTTTTCCTATGGATTGTGTGATTTTTCCAGGGACTGCGGAGCATATGGGTTCCTCAAGCCTCCTACCACCAGACGGTTGGCTGGGCTGGTTTTTGAAAGAAGATGGTAAGGATGTCCAGGAAACCAAGGGAAAGGAATTACGAAGAAAAAACAAATCAGGTGAAAGTGGGCGGAAGGGGAGCCTAGGTAGATCCATGGGGGATAATTGATAGGCAGGACCTTGACAAGTGGTGTGAGGTCATACAGTCAAAGGAAAAAGACCGAGCGAGTAAAATCATATGGCGGGTTTTGGGAACGAAGACAGTAATGCCATTAGTAGGAGATGATAGCTGGAGGAGACGTCTGCAGGGAAGTATAAGATTGAATCAAGTTCGCGACAGTCATGGCGGCACAAAAGATACGGCATAGAATTGACCGTGATGGGTTGTGTGGAGTTAGTGGGTTGTATTAACCTGCCCCATAATCCGGCTGAATGAGACCAAACCATGCGTCTCTGCGGAACTGCCCAACCTGTTCTTGAAGATGTCAGCAGACGGAACAGTGGCAACCTTAGCAGTGGCTGCAAACCCGCAGGCAGAAGGGTGAACGCACACAAGCTTGGGAACTTTGGTGGGCGATTCTTCTTGGGTTACAACCGAGGTTGTCACGGTGATCGTTCAGTAGGACTTCACTTTTTGGATGACTTGAATCACTGGGTATTTTATTAGCCGTTATCAAGCTACCACTTAGCTCACGGCAGCTGAGAAAGTAAAGCTCCCGGTCTTTCAGCTCATCCTCGCGGGGTTTTTGATCTCATTTCTAAGGTAGCCTTTGTCGCTTGTCCCCAGACCTCCAGAAGGTTCACATCTCTTTTCAGATACTGTGGTGCGTTGACTTTGTGGACATCTAGATGGATCATACGTAGGTATTGTACAACCTCAGGAAGAGTTACGGTGTGAGGGCTCCTATTCGTCTGCGCATGAAGTGCAGTACTGCGTAGGTTCTGGAGGCATCTCCTGGGTAGCCTGTCGTTCAGCACTGGTTCCAGGTCTCTCTCCGCTATGATGTGGGAAAGTTGAGTTCGCCAGAGAGAGTAGGATACATATTATGAGAGTCAGATGTGTGGAGAAAGATGGTTCGGCATTTATCCAAACTGAACAGTAGTCACTACTACCCCCTCTCTTCAAGAATCTGATATCACTTTGCAGCGCACCTGACTCCGATTCGGATGTCACATACTAAGTAATAATAATGATTTATTCCTGAATCTGTGAGTGCATATCATTTTTACAGATACGGTTATGGCATTTAATAGTGAAAAATCTTAGGTAATGTTATTTCACCATCTCTTTTTCATCCCAGGTAATGGAAATCCCCAGCCTGAAGGAAAGGTTTTACATCACGTACAAATAGTGTACCGGGAGTTGAATGTTGAATTTTTGTTGTGTTTTTAGGCTATCTGGCAGAAGTGAAAGTCGTGTTTAACGGATGTGCAAAAGGATCATTCAAAAAGAAGGGGAAGTAACTCAGCAAGTTCTCTGCCGGAAAAGAGTAATGCTGGCCGAATTACTCAAGTGGTTTAATTTGAGGGATCACGTGTATCGAAGGGGGTACCACGGCAGATTCAATGCACTTTCTAAAGCATGTACACCTCCAGGTTTACTGAGAGGCCAAGATACCCTGTGTAAACAACAATAAATAGTGCTGATAACAATATACCATCTCCCTGATGAGAGATCTATTTTTGTTTGTTCATGCTAAATCGACCATAAGCCCACCATAGCCGCCACAATGCTTTGCCTCGGACTTAGTTGCTTGGTGAACACTGGTCATATTTCGCTGGATTCCGAGGTTGAATCAAAGATTCCGCACCTGCATATAACTTGTTAGTATTTCTCTGCATTTCGTATGCTGTTCACCGCTGAGACGGACAAAATGGCACCGGTCAGTGAAACTGGATGAATAAATATCAAGAGACCTCACGGAGGGATCTTCATTTAATGCCATAAGGACGTGAGCCTCAGGTTGCATGCTTGTGGAGGAGTTGCTTGAAGACGGACGCAGTGATATTTAAGGATAGTAACGATGAAATATTGTAATTGTAGTAGTTAGAATCCCCGATCTGAAGGAAAGAATATTTTCAACCACATACAAATGGTGCACCTGATGTTGAATGTTGAATTT